CCACCCATCCATCTACCCTTCCACCCACCCAACCTTCTACCCTTCCACCCACCCAACCATCTACCCTTCCACCCACCCATCCATCTACCCTTCTACCCACCCAACCATCTACCCTTCCACCCACCCATCCATCTACCCTTACACCCACCCAACCATCTACCCTTCCACCCACCCACCCACCCACCCATTCCTCTCTCCATCCACTCACCACACATCCAGCCAGCTACATGTCCTTGAACCCCTTAACTTTGAGTTTTGGGCTCTGACACTAGGTGCTGACAAACCAGGCTCTGACACTAGGTGCTGACAAACCAGGCAGGATCTACTTTGGAGGATGGAGGGATGAGTAGAGACCCTGATGTCTGCTTGACCTCTGGCGGGTCCCCTCTGCCTGGGAACAACTTCCTGTGCTGCTTCCTCCTCTGCAGCATCTAAATCCCCGCTTCACATTCCCCCACTGCGACCATCCTGCCTCCCTCCTGCCTCTGGATTCCTGGGCCCTGAAGTTTTTCCTCACTGTCAGCAAAACCCAGGGATCCCCAACTGGGAGTGATGGGCAGGCCTGTCCTTCCAGCACTCTAGGAGGCTGAGGCAGGAGGATCGCAAGTTCAAGCCCAGCCTGGGCAATGTAATTGGCTGGATCCTATCTTAAAATAAAAAATAAGAAGAACCAGGATGTGGCTCAGTGTGGAGGCCCTGGGTTCAATCTCCAGTGCCAAAAACAAAAAGACAGACACCTCAGGCAGTCTCAGTAAGGTGTGCCCTTGCATGGGTGCTCCCGGGGCTTCTCCGAAGGGTCCGGGTCATTCGAAGGTCTCCGGGCCCCTGGGGAGCCAGCTCCACTGTTGTCTTGGCTCGTTCTCCTTTACCTGCTCCTTCAGACAGTTACCACTTTTTATTTGTGTTTTCCATGGGCCACCCTTGAGGGGCCCAGCTATGCCTGGGACGCAGCGGGGTGCTGTGGGGGGCATGGTGCTGGGTGCACTAGGAAGTGAAGAGTTTGCTCAGCTCATGGGGGAATAGGCTGGGGACACCCCACAGGGGCAGGGTGTGTGGGCTGAGGAGGCAGCCAGGAAAGACCTCAGGAGCAGGGAGCTGCATCCTGTGGCTACGAGCGGGGCCAGGCAGGAAGGCCGGGAATCTCGCGTGCCGATCGATCCCAGGAGCTGCGCTGCGTTCAGGTTCTAAGTGGGAAGTGGGGAGCCCAGTCCTGAGATTCAAGGGACCCCACAGGAGGAAGGGCTTCCACTGTCCCATTCTGGCCAAGCTAGCCTGGGTAAAACAGCCCATAAGAGTTCCAGAGGCTGAAATGCCAGCTACTCAGCAGGCTGAGGCAAGAGGATCCAAAGCTTGAGGCCAGCCTGGGAAACTTGTCCAGCTCTTTCTCAAGATAAAATTTTAAAAGGTCTGGAGTGAGTTGGGTTTGGGGATGAATGCCTGTAATCGCAGCACCTTGGAGGCTGAGGCAGGATGGACGATTGCAAGTTTGAGCCCAACCTGGCTAACGTAGTGATTTATTCAACTAAGATTTGATCTCAAAATTAAAAAAAAAAAAAAAAAAGGCTGGGGCCTAGCTCAGTGTGAGAGCACTTGCTTAGCATGCACAAAGCCCTGGGCTCAACCCCTGGCACAGCAAGCAAAAGAAAGAAAAATCTCAAAGTGAGCAGAAGGCATCCCACCCGCCGGCCATGCAGGTCCAAAGCTGATTCAGATTCCAAGATCTCTGTGGAGAACAGCACAGCACCCAAGTGGCCCAGGCGGCAGTGGGCAGGAGCCCCCGGGACCAAGCTCTGGTCCCGGGACGCAGGCAAATGGACGCATTTTCAGCTTTGAGGATGGGATGCCACCCTCCTGCATGTGTCAGCATGCTGCAGTGGGACTGGGCACCCGACCAGGGGCTGAGGCTTGACAGCCAGGCGCCCGCCACCTTAGCCACCGAGCTGCAGTCCCAGTCTGTACCTTAAATCTCCAGCCAAGTGCGAGTCTGAGAAGCCACAGCCCCTGGCCCAGAAAGGAACGAAACTGTTTGGGTGCCTGGCACCTTGCGGGGAGACGTCCCCCTGTGGTCCAAGCCACGCACCTGCTCCCAGCTCGAGCTCTGGATCCCGCTGAGGCAGAGAGGAAGTAAGAAGGCTGAGCAGCTGAGGCAGGGAGGAGAGGAGAGGAAAGAGAAACAGAACAGGGAGCACAAAGAAAGGCAGAGCTGGGCACAGTGGTACTCACCTGGCACCCTCCCATTCGGGAGGCTGCGGCAGGAGGAGCGCAGGAGGGGCCAGGAGATGGCTCAGTAGAGTAAGTGCTTCCCTGGCAAGTGCAAGGGTCTGAGTTCAATCGTCGGTTCCGCAGAAAGAAAGAGAGAGAGAGAGAGAGAGAGAGAGAGAGAGAGAGAGAGAGAGAGAGAGAGAGAAGAGCCAGCGAATCGAGAAACCCAGGCAAGAAAGGAGAGGCCAGGGCAAAGGAGAAGAGAAGTGTGAGGAAGAGGGACAAAGGGAGGTGACGCGGGACAGGGACAGCTGGCAGCCAGACGCAGGGGACCCATGGAGTAAAGGGGGTCAGCATGGGTCCCCAACTTGCCCGAGGCCCCAGGTACATCAGGCCTGGACTCATTTCCTTCTCATCAGCAGTAAATTGGTTTGAAAACCAAAATCTTGGAGTTTCCAGGGAAAGAGGAGAAGAGTTTTTAATTAGTTTATTTTTGTAATAGATAACACAGGTGCATGGTCCCAAATCTGAAAGATAAAAAAGACCAACAACTGTCACCCCTGATACCTGGTCCTGCATGTGTGCCAGGGGACAGTTGAGGCAGACAGGAGCCTACAGACATAGAGATAGTCTTTTAAAATTTGTTTCATCTTATTTTGTTGCGGTATGGTCTCACTGTGTAGCCCAGGATGTCTCTGAACTCTTGGTGATCCTTTTGCCTCAGCCTCCTGAGTGCTGGATGGCAGGCGTGTGAACCACCACTC